AAATACCTACCACCTACAGTAGCCGTACCAACACGTCGTGAGCCGCAACCGTTCCAAGCGGGCTCCATTTTGGGTCCACGTGTGGACTTGGCTGGGTACCCCCAAAACGTCGCCAGGCTCCAGTCCGAATTGTCGAGTTAGAGCCTGGTGGCCTTGAGGCCTACAATCGGCGCCTTCCACGGTCGTGATCAAGTTACTCTACTGGAAGCTCTGGTGGCAAGATCCCACCGACTGACTGGCGACAAAGAAGAAAAAGGGGGCTAGTGAAAGAAAAAGGCGCGACAAACACGTTAGGGACATGCCCAAATGCAAAAAAGATCACTAAAAAGATCACTGCCCAGCCTATATTAAACCGTCCGCAGGGTGTGGCAGTTGCGAAAACCATCCGGTTAATATGGTTTTCTTCGAAGTTTTTTTTTCCGCACCCCATACGGGGGATCGAACCCGTGCTCCCAAATCTGTTAAATTAGGGCTCAACGGCTACGGTTAACCGTTACACCAAAGGGCGGTACCTATTAAATGTCCGGGTTCGATGACGGCATCAGTTGGAGGTGCACTTATATGGGATAGGGAACGGACAACAGGAGGAAGGAGCGAGGCACGGGGGCCACCTCGCCCTCGTTTGATATTGAAATCAGACCCTCGTTAGACGACAAGTCACCTGTGCGTCACCCCGATGCCAGCACACCCCTAGGAATCAGCCCGTGGCTGCAAATGGAAGCCACCGGGCCTTGTCTGCAGCTATTTGATATGATCACTACGCCTCACCTCGCAGATATACCAAGCACTACACAAATCGAGCACATCAACAGTCTTTATTAATATCGCCGATAAAGTCTCCCTATGGCACTGCTGACCTCGGGAGTTGACTAGAGAACAAGCCCAGGTGTTTATGTATGGGGCCCCCAGCAATGTCAGCGCTCTTCCTACTGCTCATAGGCGTGCCCTCGGCGTCCTGGCCGCCGCTGGCCGGCACGAGCTGCGGCCCGGCGCGGTACCCCGTCTCGCTCTCGACCAGCGGCAAGCGTTTGCGCGACGCGAGGGGCACGGCTATCCGGCCTTGCTCCGGCCAATTGACAATGGCCAATACGTGTTTGTCGAAGCGTGCTGGGTGACCGGGCTGGCATTTGGGGAGGCCAAGGAGATGACCCCCGAGGTCATCGAGGTGGCGTAGCCTCTAGGTTAACCTCGGCCTATACTAAACACACATTTCTCTCCTTGGTCTTCTCGTAAATGGCCTTGACATGGTTTCCAAACAGCCTCCCTGTCCCGACCCTTTCAAACCCCTCCTCCGGCTCGCAACACCATACAGTTTTCTGTGCCAGATATAGAACACAGTAGGTGGTCTGGTAGCCCGAGTGATTGCCAAAGCCATAGCCGCCAATAACCTTGGGTAGAGATTGGATCACCAGAGCAAATAAAGTGGTGGGGGTCTGGCCAGCCGACCCAGCTGTTGTCTGTTCGGTCTGGTGCTGCTGATAGTCCGGGTGCTCGAGAGACGCCCACCCAACGACACTGTCGGGCTCATCGGTAGTCGTCACGCGCCGCCACAGTCGGCGGTGGGAAGGGTCTGTGGTGCATTCCGTGAGGGCTGCCGTGGCGGTGAGGTCTTCCTCGTCCGTGAAAAAGTCGTGGATGCGCACGCGAACCAAGCGCCCGAGCATACCGACGACGAGGAACCGGCCGTGGCTGATTTGATCCGCATCAGCACCCCCCGGAGGCGGGGCTGTGGCGTCCATCAGAGGCCTCCACGCATCGTCAGACTCCACGGGCGACCTGACCCCAACGGCCGTTAGCGAGGTGGGAGTAATGCAGTTTTGGGGATGCCGTCTTTTGGGCCGCGACCACTGGACCGCCAGACCTTTGCCCGTACCATGGGTCCCATCGTCTCCGTCTGCGCCTCCCGGGAACTCCTGCATGGACGCCCACGACCACGTGGGGAAGCCTTCCACCCTGGCCACTCGAGCCTGAGGGGATGGCATCTGTTCCCATAACAGGCCTTGCGGCCAGCGGTTCCAGAGCCCACACATGTAGCCATTGCCGTAGGCAGGCACCTGTGTCTCCCAGTTGCCTTCAATCCTCCCCAATAGTTCCCCCATTACGTCCCTGTGCAGTCCAGCTATCCCTTCTAGTGCCACCAAGCGGTCCTTTGCCATATAAGTGAGTTCCAGGCCCGAGTACGCCTCCACAATGTCCATCCAAGCCTCTATGAGCTGGTGAAAATCGCCCAACGAAGAGTTTATCACCCCGCGCATGGGATTCCTCATCTGAATACCCTTGCCCACATCGCAGCTGTGGCTGCCGAGCAGCTGAGCACGGTTGCTAACAAGGGAAGTCGGACTTGTGGCGTGACACTGGGCGAAAACGCCGCCTTTGGTAAAGGTGAGCACCCGCCGGCTAAGCCACCACTCCTGGTAGACCCAGCCGCGCCGCATGAGTGGGCTCTGGACAACGTCGTCGGCGTAGTCACTTTCCAGCTCCTGCGCGTTGACGCGTTGCAGATAGAAGCTGCCCATTTTGTCCCCGTTGCGGTCCCGGTAGGGGAGTCGGGCCAACAGGGGAGGCTTTTGAGCCTCTGCCTCTGGCTGCTGCCCGAAAAGCCCCTCGGAAAGTCTCTCGGGCTCTTCTTCGGACTGCCCGCCAGGCATTGACCTTGACCACCCCGTTGCCGCAATGGTCAACCACGCCCTCCGGTAGTAGTCGCCCATCTTTTGCGATTCGCGCTCCCAGTCTGTAGCGCTGTCCTGGATGATGCAGAGAGAGTCGATCCAGATGTATCGTATCCCTTGCGTTGACGCTACGTAGGCGGCGTCGTGGAAGAGCTTGGACCCGCCGCAGTCCAGCATTTGCGACTGATAGTTGCCCGTCAAGGTCCTGAACCTGTGCGTCTCGTACCGCCACCGGTGGCTGAGCGTAACATATACGCCGTCAAGCCCCTCCGTCTCGCGCAGCACCAGCTTCGGCCGCGTTTCGTCCTCGCCCGGCAGGATCTCGACACACCTAGTCGGGAGCCGGCCGGGCCCGTCGCCGATAAGGTGGCCGTGAGGCTCGCTCTCGCGTCCGCACCCATGGCGCTGCTGAGAACATGAATTATGCCATTCCCTCAGCGCCTCTGTGTGATGTGAGGTCCAGGAATGGCTTTCGGGCTTGAAACCGCCCGATATGTCCCCCGACAAGTACGCAGGCGTGCCCGGGTCGGCGGCCACTATCATGGTAGCCATTTTTGGTTCAGACGTGTCAATGACGCTGCGCCACCTGACCGTATGAATGTAGGCTTGGAACTCGCAGATGTCCAGGCCGGGCTGTCCGTGCAGCTCTGCAACATGGCGAAGGCGCTGTTTGGCTCGCAGGAATATCCAAGGGGGCCAAATCCACCTCAGCCACCAGCGATTCAGCCAGGGGAGCTGTTTCAACCTTGACTGGCCACGCTGAGATGACGACTCGTAGAGCCGAGACCGAACCGGAAGCGGGTCGATGGCCAGCACGCTCTCCAGCAGGAGGGTGCAGAAGGTGCAGCCTTCCTGCGCGCTGCGTATAACGTCTGCCAGTGGGAAGCCTCGCGGGACGTGGGGCTCCTTCCGAAACGCCTGGATGTCGAATTTCTCGCATCGAGAGCACAGGCTGGCGGGCATCTTCTCGAATTTTGGCACGAATCTGATGAAGCAGCCAGGTGGAATGAACGGGCTTTCTGGTGGGCAGTGGAATAACAGACTGCTCGCCCGCAACTAGGTAGAACGAATATGTAGGCTTGCTGACGGGCAATGGCAGTGGCTAATACGGAAGCTGCGCCTCCGCTCTGTGCCTGTGCCGTCTCTATACCACCTTCCGCAATAGGCGTGCAAGTTGGAGAATCGATGTAAGGCTGCGTGTTCGGCCCCATGCATCCTCGCTTGAACAGCACAGCAATCAATTACCCGACTTCTTTATTTCTACGCCCATCTCCGCAACCAAGTTGCTCCTCCTCCTTTCCGACATTTTTATCATCCTCCCTGGAAGCACCACAGTATCACAAGAATCAATACCCACCTAAAATATATCATGAAGCACCTACCTTATATCATAAAGCATTCTTCCATCCACATAGACACTCGCCACGTTTCTCTCCTCTTTGCTAGTTGTGTCGCTTTTTGTGCGTATGCTTATAGAATGTCCGTTTTATCCTACATAATAATCGCTCTGACCAGGAAAGGGAAACACTCGATACCCACATCCTCCTTGCCCTTCATCGCGGCCTATCTCTGTGTGGATCTTCCAGCAGCTACTTACGGCTTCGTCTTTTTCTGGCGAGAAGGTATCCCTAAATGGTACAAGGCGGCGCTACTTACAGCACTAAGCCTACTCAGGTTTATTCTCTCCCTCTTTGTCGCCCAGATCCTGGCGGGGAAAAGCCTAGTTGCTACAGAGCCTAGGGGTGCAGCATTTATACCTTTCGACCCCGCTATATTACACTCGCTCTCTTCAGCCGATCTTCTATGGTGGCTCTGTGTGGTGATCTTGGTGTTGTGGCGTGTGCCCGCTCACAGCGCGCCCATCGACACCCACCGCCAGCCTGTCGCTCGGCAAAGCCGGTCCCTCTGGAAGCCGTCCTCCTCGCCCACAACCGTGCCGCTGGCACCTGTCAGAAGAGAAGAGGGCGAGCTGGCAATGATTTTCGCCCGCCAGTTTCCTAGAGCTCAACCCGACGAGGGAAACAGCCAAGTATGTTTTTCTGCCCCATATACAAACCCTCCCCAGATTCGAGTGTCTAAGCATGTGATGCTGTATGGCAGGACCTGCCCGAGTCTCATGAGGAGAATGGTTCCCGGCCGACCCCAGAAGCAGCCACCGAGCAGAACCCGTCGTATCACACGGTCCCAAGGCTCAACCCCTGGGTGAGGTACTGGGTTAAAAAGGGGCAAAGAATGATATGGTTCATCAGAATGGGACAAAGAACCCTCCCTTTGAACGGGGTTTTGCTCGTCATGCTCGGCGTCGCCTCGTCGCCTAATCCGAATCCTTCTCGTCAGGACACAGGCCCGTACGCTGCCCGATTCCCCCTATGCTCTGGATCCCACCAGTAGCCGATATTCGGGTCATAAAATCAGTCCTAATTCTTTGGTATTGACACAGCGCGCTTGCTTACCTTGGGCTTTCGGCGGCCTGCATAGCTTTCCTGCTCGCAAGTCTTGGCGTTTGGTGTGTTCTTCGTGGCCTTCGAAACCCCTTGCTTGCCGACAAACTCGGCGTGTGTTTTCTGATCACAATTGGGCCAATAGCCTCAACAATTGCTGCCTATTCAACGTCCTTTTTCTACCAGAACCGCCTGGCACCTGTATCCCCCTACTTACAAATTGTCCTTGCCATATTATACACGACCACGCCCGTAGATAGGTAGCTATCGCGTATCCTCTTGACTCAAAAAGTTCTTTAGCAGGTCACCGTCGGGAGATTCTAGGTATCTGTTAGATGAGACATGTTGCGTGTGCTGAGCCGGAAGGCAGGAGGCCGGAGAACGGAGCATATGACTACGGTCCAACTGATCATCACGCCCAAGGGATCAGCCCTCCGGTAATCAGGATCTTATATATTCAAGCACCGCCTGTTCCATCTCAAAGAGATGGAAAGTTTTCTCCCGTACGCACAACATACGGCGTCCCTCCAATTCCGAAACAGTTGTCACTCACCACTCGCAAAAGATCCGAGCCTACAAACAGGAGTATCAAAATGTTACCACCAGCGCCAGTGATTTTTACATATGTTCTTATTACTGCCCCAGTGATGCTATTTCTACAGGGAACAACCCTGTTGTCAGTATTGAGCAGGAGATACCCGTAGTGGCGAGTCGTGTGGCAACAAGGCCGCTGCTGCTGCACCGGCTAGCAACCGGTGACTTTCTGCACAACACTGCACTCCCTCCGGCTACTACGTCCGCGGGATATTGTGCCAATGTGACCGCTCGTACGCGCCCGCAGGTGAGCTCGGGTTAGGGATGAACGCCGGTTGATGGTTCTGCTGCTGACCGTTCACGTCATCCTGGTAGCGCGGCACAAAGGCCTCGCCGGGACTGGCGGCGCCCCTGGCGCCCCACGCGTCCCCGGAGCCGATGTTGCTGACCTCGCTCTCCGACATGCCGCCGGCCGACCACGCGGTGACGCTGCTGATGTTCCGGCTGTGACCACCGTGCTGCGCCGTCGGCGGGGCCGCGTGCGGCTGGAAGCTCTGCTGCTGCTGCTGCTGCTGCTGCTGCTGCTGCGTCGAGGGCAAGGGCGCGAGAACACCGCCGTCGTAGGCTTGCCAGGTCGGCGACGCCATGGGAATCTGGTGGTACTCCTGCTGCGTCAAGGGTGCAGGCGACACGAACGCGGTGGTGGCGTCGTCGTAGTTTTGCCGCGGCGGCGAGGCCGTGGGTAGCGGGTCGTACTGCGGTCGTGTCGGGGTTCGGGGCGCAAACATGCCGCCATCGTGGCCCTGCGGCGGCGCGGTGCCCATTCGAATCGGGTCGTTGAGCACCATGGCCGCAGCGGGAGTTCCTTGTGCGCTTTTTGTCTGCATCATGACAGGGACCGCCGCCGTCTCCTCGGGCATTTGAACCGCGGGTCCTCCGTCCCCCTGTCCGCTCTCCGCCCCGCGGGTAGCTCTGCGTTTGCGCCGGATGCAAAACCAGGCCAGTACGAGCGCCAAGATGATGGCCGCGCCCCCGAGGCTGATGCCAACTATGGCCCCCACGGGCAAGCCCAGTCCCGAGTTGGTTTCCTGGGGTACGACGGCATATTGTATGGCCAGCACGATGTTCAAAACCGCGGATGTTGGCTTGTCCGTATCGATAGGCTGCCCTACGACGTTTGCCGTCAGAGTTGGCGCCGCGGTTATGCGGTTCATCGAGGACCAGCAGGGTGTCTGGCCAGCTACCGCGCGCGTGAAAGGGAAAAAGCCGCTATGAGGTGGTTATGGAAAGCGAAGTCAGCAGCCGTCCGAGGTGTGCTTCGTTCGTAAGCGTAGACAACTCCGAATACTCACTTGGGGCAGCAGGACCCAGAGATGGAATAGTAATCATCGGCGCAGTGGGGAAGCGCGAGCTGGACGCCGTCTTTGGGTGAGGGGTAGGGACCGCCGCCATTGTCCCGCTGGGTGTTGACGCCGCCGTCCTGGGTAACGGGCGGGGCGTCGGTGGCGATGGTGTTTGCGATGGTCCAGGGGCAGCACTCGGGCCTGTCGTTGATACAGCCGACGAAGCCGGCCCAGTAAACGGTGCTCCCGGAGTCGATGAGAGTGTACGAGGCGGTGTCGCAGCCGCCGCTGAGGAGCTTGCCGGTGCTCGTGAATTGCGGTGTGCTCGTCCGCGGGGGCGGCGTCGAGCGGCTCGAAAGCCGGACGCTTTCAACGGTGCTGTTTGTGGCGGAGGACGGTTAAAGTCCATAGGGTAGCGACGACAAGGTCGAGATTGAGATGTTCGAATACCTCAAGGATAACACCACGGTCGAAGGGGGCTTAATCTGGGCCATAGCCGTTGCAGGGACGCTCCCGCACATGGACGAGAACCACGATATCTGGTAAAACGCAAAATCATCTGGCAATCCGAAGCTGGCATGTAAGTCACGCTATGTCATCAACATAGAAACCCCCTCGGCTCTTGGTGGACTGGGCTCACCGTTGCCATAGCTCGGGCATTTTGACGTCAAGGCAGAGTGGAAACACTGGAGATAATCGGGGCTGTTCGCAAGCATCAGTGGACTGTCTGCCTTCCCTGTCATATCCCGCCATGGAAGGCAAACCGGAGAGTGGGCTCTACATACCCGTGATCGCAATAGCACGACGTTGCAGCTCTGGTGGAGTTGTCCCTAAAGCCCACGCTTTGTATGCATGCCCCGATCCCGCCATCGCAGTTGAACGGTCCGATATTCTAGGGCGACTTCTCAGTATTCGACCTCATCGAAATATCCTGAATGGGTGGTGGTAGAGTCCCTACCAGGCAGCCGTGTGTTGTTTGCCTCCGCATCAACCCGTGTGTGGCGGCCGAGGCCAAGGTCGGCGCCGGCGTGATCCCGGCTGGCAGCGCGGCTGGGGCAAGCATTTCGAATGTTTGGAAAGGGCTCCCGATCACCTAGGAGACATGAGAATCACTTTGAAGTATTCACCACGATGGAAAAAGACGGCAAGTTTCTAGGCAGGCGACAACCCAAAACAAAACGATACAACAAAGAATCGGACGGCATTTCCCAGTCGCACATGCCAGAAAGAGGACGAATGCTCGAGCCTCTAAGAGTAGTGGTTCGGCCCAAACCCGACGAGAGCCCAGCTGGCAGGCGGTGGGCGGCCACATCATGACTCCCCCGCCAACGAAGGCGCAAGATGGCGGGCTTGGCAGGCTGCTGTGGACTAGTAGAGCGAATGGGATCCCCGACGACTCTCGCAGCTGGACGGGAGACGCCACCTTCGCTCCCATTAGGAGCCTGGGCTGAAGCGACGATGCAAGTCGTCGGTTGCAGACGTGGCTTAGCCCTAGCCCCTAGCGCAACATGTCGGACCAGGGTGAGTCTGGCCTTCCAGGATGACGGCAGTGGTTCAAATGTGTGTCGGACATTGACCCTTGAAAAATGGAAAAGAAAATCCGGGTTGAAGGTGTTTCGTTAAGAATTTGCAAAAAGACCCTCTTCATGAAGCTGTTTGCACAGACGCGTTGCAATACAGCTTTTGCTTCTATTTCATCTTGGGTGGTTTATTGGGGTTAATTTCCAATTTCCACACACCCAGCAAGGTCCCGCTGAATACCCCGATTAGCCTGTTGGAGGCGTCGCGGTGATCAAAAGGGCAGGCAGGCTGAGCGTGCTGCATGGCGGCTTCCCCATGTGGTGGTGTGTCGTA